GCTTCCCGCTGAGCAGGGAGCCCGATGCGGGACTCGATCCCAGGACCCTGGGATCATGACCTGAGCCGAAGGCAGACGCTTCACTGACTGAGCCACCCCAAGAGAGGTCCCCTTGAACTTCCTGGTGTGGCGGCGGCAACCCCCTCCTCCCACCTGCCTTTCACCTGCCTGCCCCGCCCTCACCTCCACCCTGAACCAGGCTTCTACAAGCACAGCTTTCCTCTGTGCCCCGTGCCCGCCTGCTCCCCCCGAGGTCGACAAGAGTGCTGGGCAACAGAGGTCTGCCTGGTCCGCCTAGCACTGTGCTTGGACTGATGGGCGGCTAGGTGCACAGAGCCAAAATCTTCAGGGAGCAAGACCCAGTCTGAACCGTGCAAACCCCTCCTCTTGGCTCCTGAGGGTTTTACCCAGCGGCTACCCACCCCTCCCGCCCCACGCCTGACCCTCTCCGAGGCTGGATGGAACCAGAGCTGAGGCCAGGAGAGGAGGCTACCTGGTGGGAGTGGGAGCAGGGGGGCAGCAGGCTGGGCAGAGGCGGGAAGGGGGCCTGGCGAGGTTTTGCCTGGGCCCCTCACTGAGGGGAAGATGGGTGTTTTACAGGAGCTCCCTGACAAGGAGGAGCCAGTGAACAAGGTTTATTCCACATTGCAGACTGGTAAGGTAAATCCTTTTTGACTTCTTATCCCTGTTGCCTGTCTGTTCCAGCCATTCTGCTGTACCCTGTCCATCCAAGCAGGGGCCAGCTGGTTCCCTCGGTGCTCCTCTCTGTCCCTCTCAGGACCAACTGCTGAGGGCCGTGGCCCACAGGTGTTTCACACCTGCACAGAGCCCGGCTCCCAGGTCCGTGGCCATCCAAAAGCTGGCCAGCTTGGGATGCTGGGCCTGCCTCTAAATGCAGGAGCCCCCAGGCCTCCGAAGTGCGGGGTGGAAACTCCAGCCTCTGGAGCAGCTGGGGCCATGCCGGCTCACAGAATAAAACCAGACAACAGGTGCCCCCCTCTGGACAGACACAGGCCCACACCAGGTGCCCAGACCAACAAGTGGAACACAGGCCGGATTTCAGGTCCCGCTTCCCCCGCCAGCCGACTTGCCCAGGGTGCAGCCCGCACAACAATTTGCAACGGAGCTGCGACACTCACACTACCCTGTGCCTCAGTGTCCTGCTCTGGAAAATGCGTGGACGGAAGGTAGGACTTTCAGTCTGGGGCATCTGTCACTGTCCATGAGGATCCTCATTTCTGCTACAGTCAGAAAGCCAGCTTTGGGGTCTCTTGGCAAACCAAATGTTTTGCCAGTGTTCCTGTTTAACAGTTGGGCAAAATCATCATGAAAGACACAGAGGAACCCAGGGAGTCTAGGGGGAAGGGAAAGTCGTGAGAACAAATAACGAGTGGGAGGAAACATTAGGAAATTGGCTGCACATGGATGGGAACTGAGAAGTAAAAGCTGATTCGGTAGAGGGCATCTGTGAGCTGCAGATGCAGGAGACTTGCAGGCAAACTCAGGGCACAGGTCGTTGGGGTGTGAAGCTAAGCCAGTGTCCTGGAGCCCGAGACGGAAGGGCCTTCACTCCCTCAGTGCTCAGGAGAGGGAAGGAAGGAGAAGGAGACTAAGGGGCACCGGAGGGACGAAGGACGAGGGGAAGGGGAAGGAAGAAGTGAGGGGCAGGGGGCCGCATGTGTGAGCCGAGATCTGAAGGACAGGGGAGGACACGGGAGGTGACACTGGCAAGGACTGGATCAGAGGGATTAATCAGGGCAGCCGGGTTGAGGCATCTCAAAGCGTGTCCTCTAGACAAGGCTGATGGCGATTATTGATTGGTCATTATATAATTTAAGAAGAATCGTTTTGTTTTGTTTTGTTTTGTTATTCTGTTTTTTTAAAATTTTTTATCGTTATGTTAATCACCATACATTACATCATTAGTCTTTGATGTAGTGTTCCATGATTCATTGTTTGTGCATAACACCCAGTGCTCCATGCAGAACGTGCCTTCTTTAATACCCATCACCAGGCTAGCCCATCCCCCCACCCCCCTGCCCTCTAGAACCCTCAGTTTGTTTTTCAGAGTCCATCGTCTCTCAATTGTTTTTCCTATTATCCTTTTGGGTCCACTTTATTTGGGAGCAGGGTGTGGGGAGGGCTCTAGGTCTGTCCACATAACTAGAGCACAGGACGCTGACTCGCCAATATGTGAAGTGCAGTTATGGAGGTTCAGAAGGAGCTGAGGCTCAGCTAGGAACAAGGAAGGCAGGTAGCTTGAGCCTGGATGTTGCTCAAGCCTGTAATCAAAATCAATGCAAATACCCCCTTTCCTTCCTGCTGCTTTTTTCTGGGCTCTGCAGCTGATGACCCAAGGGTTTGCAAGCGGGTGACCAGAGCAGAGGCAAGGGACCCAGCAAAGGGCAAGGCCCTGCTGCCCCAGATTCCGCCAGCACCGGGGAGGCCTGAGGCATCTCCCTGTGCCGTCTGTCTGTCCCGGGCACCACCCAGGGCTGGGCTTCCCCAGCAGCATCTCTCAGTTAACCTGCAGTTCCAACTCCCTCTTGTGCACAGATGGGGGAAAACCAGCTCTCAGGACGGCAAACCTCCTGGAACCTATGAAAATGTGATCTAAGCTCATGGCCAGCATTCTCCCTGTGGACACTGAGCTTCAACAACCATCGATACCCCGGCAGATGCCCCGGACCCAGACTTTCTCTGCGCACGTCTTACCTGGAGATTGCAAACCATCACGCCCCAATCTGTGACTTTTTTGTGACTGGAGGTGCTGAGCCTTCCCAGCAACCCCCTATGTAGACAGGATTGGTATTTTGCATGCCTGTACCCAGCCATGGCATGCCACCTAGGAGGCTCTGATCATACTCAATGTCGTGGGGAGCCCCGGTGCACGACCTCCACAGTCCACACAGCACGTGAGACAAATTAGACAAAAGCACCCTTCCCCCGAGGCAGATGCGGCCCCTCCCAAGCACATGGCTTGATGAGTAGAGTGTGGGCTGCACTTCAGCCTCTACGTGCCCCTTTGCCCAGGAACCTTTGTGCAGGGGCGGCTGGCTAGCCCAGCCCGCCCATCCATGATGGTGTCGCATGGGAAGCCATGGGAGCTGTGGCTCTTGGCTGTGCGGACACACTATCCAAACGGAGAGTTGGAGAATGCTCCTTCTGTAGGGACTGGACAGCTGCGGCATTTTTCTTCAGGCTCTACTTCGGAAGCCTCATAAGATTTTCTTTCTGGCCAAGCTTTCAACTTGACTGGGCCATTTATGGGGTGACCAGACATTGGTTAAACACGATTCTGGGGGGATCTATGAGGGCATTTCTGGATGAGATTAACATTCGGATTGGTAGATTGAGTAAAGCAGATTAATCCCCGCTCCCATACGGGTGCATATCACCAGATCCATCAAGAGCCTGAAGAAGAAGAGGACAGAGTAGGGGAGAATTAATTCTCTCTGCCTGGCCATCTTAGAGCTGGGATATCAGTCCTCCTGCTTTAGAACTTGGACTTGGACTGGAACTTGCACCATCAGCTCTCCTGGTTCTCAGGCCTTTGGACTTATGCTGGAGAACTACACCATCAGCAGTCCAGCTGCAGACCCTGGGATTTCTCAATCTTCGTAAGCACACAAGCCAGCTCCTTGTTATATCTGTTTCCTGTTGGTTCCATTTCTCTGAAGGACCAGACTAATACCTATTCCAAGCAGCCTCGGCAAGAAGAAGAGACCGTCCCCAGTACCCCATTCACCAAAAGGACTTGACCAGCTATACTTATGACACTTTAGGGGAGCTGAGTACAACCCAACCATCGAAGCAAGAGACCTTAAAAGAAGTGGGTCATTCTTCAGAGGGAACTTGGCAGATGATGGTGTAGATGATGAAACTGGCTTCGCCTCACCTCTGTTACTAAGGCTCAGTCCAGAGAGTCACTGCTTCACGCTTTGGTTCGATGCCCCTGCGCCCCTGCTACCAGCGCTGAGGAGAAATCACCCATGGCTGAGCAGAACATTCAAGTGATCGTATGAAACTGTTTCCCTTATGTGTGAGCACCCACAGCCAGTTAAATCCTAAGTCCCCGTGAACAATCCCAGGCTGGGCAGCAGAAGTGAGCTGCATTTAGGCAGAAGGAAGGTGTTAGTTTCAGTGAATGGTTCCATCGAGCCATCTAGCCCTGACCACCATTAGCACTGTGTCGGGGGATGCAAGACCCTCAAAGTATCAGATGAGCATAATGTCTGCCCTGGTCTAGCTGCCCTGTGCAAGGCAAGCACGGACACTACAGTTAAATGCTGAATTACACGTTTTGGGGAGTGGCAGCAGCTAGTACAGTCAGGGAAGGCTTCACGAAGGAGGTGGAGCTGAAGCTGCGCTCTGGAGGAAGGGTAAGATCTGGCTGAGAATGGAGAAGACAGAAGGCATCCAACTGAGGAAAGCACAAGAAAGAAGCAGAGGCCGAATCGGCGTGATGTGTTTTGGGCACCACCCCAGATGCACTGAGCACGTTCACAGTCCCTTGCCTACCATGGCAGAGTGCCTCTGCTTTGGTGTGCCCCCCAACCCCCAGCCCTTTCCACACACATCAACGCTCAGCTCAAATGTCACCTCCTCTGTGAAGCTCTCCCTGGCATCACTGGTCAAATTAATTATGGCTTTTTTTGCCCTCCTTTCCCCCCCTTGGTCCTTATATCACTGCAACTCATTTCTTTCTGCCTCACGGTATAGATCATTATTTGTTTCCCTCCACACTGTACATACTGAAGGGCAAGATCCATGACTTCATGACCATGGAGAGTGATCATGTGCGATGAGAGTTTTAGTCCCCTGTGCATCCACCACCAGCCAACGTTGTGCCTTGTACCCTGCCTGTGAGCAATAAATGCTATTGAATAGAATTGAAAATGACCAGCCAGCTCAAATAGAAGGTACACGTTGCAAGTATTGATAGACAGAAGCCAACAAGCATAGTGGAATCCAATTATTGCAAGCGTTAAATGTCAGAATGCAGGCGTCAGTGTAAGTACTAGTTCTTGGAGGGAATTTTGGAGGGATAAGACTCTCAGAGTTAGACCAGCGAAGACATCACCTGAAGCCATGAACCAGGTGTGAGTGAAAGGCAGTCACTCCAGGGAGGGACATGAAGGAAGAAATAAGGAGACCTGTCATAAGGATGGAGAAGTTCCAAAGGGACACCGAACAGGCTGGGTTTCCCCTAAAATAAAAGCATGCCTCACCTTTGTGTGAGCTGAGGGACCGCTCCTGAACATGGTCCTTCTCTGAACTGTCCTTGCTTCTCCCTGGTGCGCTCACCCAGTGAAACTGCTGGTGTCCTACAGCCCCACTGGCAAGTAGGGGAGAGGAATAGAACCAGAGGCAAGAGTTCCCTGGGTTTTCCAGGAGAACAAGCCTGGGAAGGAACTAGTACCCAGGAATTCTTCATGTGGCCTTTGGGATTTGGGACCACTGAGCTCCTGTCTCTCACTTTCTTTTCTCTGACTCTTCTGATCTATGAAGATATAAGCTACTCACCCCATCTCTAGGGGCTTGGTTCTCAGATTCTCCTTCTGTGAAATGGGTGTGATCTCATGCATCACACTAAGATGGGCCAGTTTTTACGAAGGTGCATTGAAACTGGAATCTTAGGGGTAGGGCCCTCTAGTGGCAAGTGCCGGTAAGGGAGCACAAGCCAGGCACCTGTGGGTCCACCTGGGCTTTCAGCACAGAACAGGGAACAGGAGAAACAGTGCAGCGAATGCCTCTCAGAAAAAGAAAGTGAAGCCGATTTAAAATGTGATGCTTTTAAAAAAAGCTATAGAATGCTCTAAACTGCACAGCCCACAAGAGAGGAGCTTGGCTGGGCCACTTTGGAAACCCAGCAAAGAAAGGAAGGAGCCTGATTGGCCTGGTGATTCTTTTTTCCTTTTTTTTTTTTTTCTTTTTTAAAAGATTTTATTTATTTGAGAGAGTGAGAAAAAGAGAGAGAGCGCGCGCGCACAAGCGGGGGGGAGGGGCAGAGAGAGAGGGACAAGCTCCGCCGCGGACTGAGCCCCACGCGGGGCTCAATCCCAGGACCCCGCGATCATGACCTGAGTGGAAGGGAGAAGCTTAACCCACTGAGCCACCCAGGCGCTCCTGGCCTGGTGTTTCGTAGGTTCAGCCTGGAGAAAAGAAATGGCTGGGCCGTATTTTCTTCCAGATCCATTACTTTTCTTCTACTTGACCTTTCCCTGAATTTTCCTGGGTTTGAGTAATTTTCTCAAGAACCCTTAGAGACAGTCTCTACTGGCTGTAAAATGAAGTTTGGAGGAGAAGGCAGAAGGCGGAAGGGTACTGAGTGGTCCCAAACGCAGGCTCCTTTGCTGGAGTGCCTGGGTCTGAATCCTGATTTCTTCGTTCTGTGACCTCAGGCAAGTTAGGTTCACCTTTCTGTGCCTCAGTGTTCCCACCTGCAAAATGGGGACAGTAATAGCTCCTGCTGTGTAGAGTTAATATGAGGCAGCACTATAAGAATATGCCTACAAGCTGGGGGCACCTGGGTGGCTCAGTTGGTTAAGCGACTGCCTTC